CAGGAATTTAGTGTTTCAACTGTGTGGAAATAAGGCTGTTTTAAAATAGAAGCTGTCATAGCGTTCTCCAATAGAGTTTGGTAAGGTGCACCTTGCTATTACGGGCACATATTACCAAATATTCTAGGTTAAGTTGGGATAGTTCTAACTAAAAGTTCACTTGAAGTTGGCATACGCCAATTTTGTTTCCCAGGAGAAAATTTCGACAAACCTACATGTCCTTACGATGTTTAAAAGTTCCTTGACATTTTTGGTGTTTTTCAGTGGAGATTGACTATGTGATGGCGAGATATTGTGGGGATCTTCAGAATTCTCAAACGCCTATCCAGACAATCCTTACCGGGGTAAGCGCCTTGACAAGGAAGAACGAGTTTTGATGGAGCTATGTCGATCATGCTTGCCATCTTCACCTCCCTTTTCCTACAGTTAATTGCATACATACATCTCAGCATGGAATAGATGCAGTAATATTGAAGTCTCTACGCCTCTACCAAAGATAGTTTCTGAGGGTAAACGCCAGGTCAGGTTGCCATGTCCATTTTGTAGACATCTGTCAAGAACGGAATATGGTCTTCACTCAGACAGATATGAAGTTCCCAGTACTCCTGTCGGGAAAGTGAGTTTCGAAGTTGCGCTCAATGGTCTTATAATTATAACTTTTTTACTCCCATCCGACTCGGTCCAGATTGGAAACATATCACTTGTCCATTGTTCGCCACGTTGTAGAACTCCACAGTTTGAGTACGCTTTTAAATGAAGCACTTTTCATCCAGTTAGAAATAGGTGGAATGGTGGAATATCTAGAAATATTTCCATGAAAATTTAGAGACCAGAATAGCCCCCCAAATTTAGACTTCCATTGTCTATCTTATATAGCTTCGTGATAGTTCAGGTCGTCACATTCTACCCACCTTTCCAGAATAATAATATAAGTATAAAAATTTAAGTACATAAACTAGGAATAATGACACCGAATCTGTGGTATTTTATTTCACACCATTCTGAAGTCACTCCAATATTCAATTCTATTAAAGTCCTTAACTATGCCCTATACATATTTACATACTTAGGCATCCAAGTGATCATTTTTTGCGCAGAGGACGGGACACTTTTACACTCACTCATTAAGGTATACCATAACTCAATTAATCAACCAGAATTATGTCTCATAAATCACATCATTTGTAAGAACATTAAAACATCCTTCACACATCATACTGGATTTGCAAATAAATTATTTTCATTTACAGCTTAATCATGTGAATATCTACTACATACAATTAGCGTATTTAAATTATTTCCTCTGATTCGTTTCAGAATATTCTGCTAGAGTTCGACTGTGTGGGACGAACAACAGAACAGGCGCGTTGATCTAAAAGCATTCCTCAATAGAGAAACAACTGCAGTAATATTCAGAAGCAATTAAAAGCTGCGACAAACGAATCGGGAAAGACTTGAACAAACAACTAAGAGCGTAAAATAATAAATATTTCAATCTCGCCAGAAAGCAAAATAAAACTAAATCAAACGAGAAAAACCAAAACACCAACGCACAAAGTAACCTCAAACTCAAGGCGATCGCAGCTTCGGCTGCATCAACGGCAGCGACGTCGTCGTNTAGAGCGTAAAATAATAAATATTTCTATATCGCCAGAAAGCAAAATAAGACTAAATCAAACGAGAAAAACCAAAACACCAACGCACAAAGTAACCTCAAACTCAAGGCGATCGCAGCTTCGGCTGCATCAACGGCAGCGACGTCGTCGTCATTGAAGGCTGACTGTCGCTGTTAATAACTGACACTCAGCTGTCAACGGGGGTTGAGGGCTGCGGGCTATATGCGGGCGCAGGAGTGACACGCGCATAGTACTTAGAACTCATAATTTGAATAACTGGAATTGCAGATTTTTCAAACGGCNAACTCAAGGCGATCGCAGCTTCGGCTGCATCAACGGCAGCGACGTCGTCGTCATTGAAGGCTGACTGTCGCTGTTAATAACTGACACTCAGCTGTCAACGGGGGTTGAGGGCTGCGGGCTATATGCGGGCGCAGGAGTGACACGCGCATAGTACTTAGAACTCATAATTTGAATAACTGGAATTGCAGATTTTTCAAACGGCACAAAATGATCTGCAACAAGAAATCGTACGCTATGAAAATGCTGCAAATAGCATTGGCCTTGAGTCTGCTGCATGTGGATCCGGATAATTATCTACAGCAGCGCTTACGAAATTGGGACTCACAGCTGGAGTTGCGCGATGGCGACGGTTGGGAGCTGGAAATGTTGCGCGCAGTACCAATGGTGGAGTATCCTTACGCGAATCGTAAGACTATGATGCCGCTCATAGAGGATCTAATACGCTACGATCGACAACACGATGCCACGCTGCCGCAATATAATGTCACAGCTTACATTTTAAACGTGCAGAACGATGGTGGCACAAATCAAACGGCCACTTTGCCGGAGTTGCAAACAACTGCGAGTAGTGCGGCTAATGCCGGCGGAAGCGTGAATGTGGCAGGAGCCACTGCGCTAGAGCAGGCAGCCAATGCTGCAGCGGCAGCTGCTGCGGCCAGCACGAACGCCACTAACATGGGACTGCCGGCTTCGGAGCTGGATGTGTTTCTGAATTCGGATAACTTTCAAGATCAGCGTTCGGTATGGGAGCAAAATTTAGCTGATTTGCGGGACTTTGGAGATCTTGCCATTAACAATCCATATGCCGGCTTGCCGCTCAAGGATGAACCGTACAATAATACTTATATTGACTTGAATTTGGATGCATTTCTTCCGACCATTGCAAGCGCTGCAACTGCAGCGGCTAATGCGATAAAAGAAGAAGATGAGACAATTAGTGCTGGTGCTTTGAATGACACCTATCCAGAACCAGCAGATATTGCCAGCATTAAAACTGAGCAGTTCGATAAGAAAGAAGAAGAGGAAATTGCGCTGGAAAATGAAGTCGCTAGCTCTAGCTCCAGCAGTTCAACTTTGGCGTCCACTGTGCTGGCGATAAAGAAGGAACCGGAAGCCAGTGGCGACGATGGTGAGCAAACTGAAAGTGAAGAAGTGGATTTGAGTCCCTTTATTAGTCAAACGGAGCTGATCGAAGAGGTAAACATTCTATATTTACAAAATTCTTTTGGCATTGTTTTAGTGTTGCGAATTTGTTGTTGGCCCAAATGATTTATGCACAATTTTGTTTGGGGAGTTCTAAATTTATCTACATATATGTTAATTAACTAGCTGAAATGTATTTTTTAAAGATCTTTTCACTTGACTACTGACTGATAAAATGAAATATTATAATCAATTGCATTCGTATTGCACTATGGGGAATACCAAGTATGACCAATTGTATTACCTATTCTGCGGTCTTCGGTTAGCTGCATATAATTTGGTGCACTTAAGTAAAAAATGCAGCTATGCCGAAAATTAAAAAGCATTGCCCATAGCAAATGACTGCTGAATATTATGAAATTCTCTTAAGAAATCAGTACTT